AGCATCAGATAAAAACGATTCAATCGTCCTAGGAAAACATCGCAGAAAAGTTTGTAGCAACGGAACCACAACCGAATTGTGCGAGCTCCTTAAAGCCAGTACCGCGGTAAGTGCTTATTGCCACCGCGCGATTCACTTCGTTGTTCGTTTTTTTACAGGATTTTCCTCTCCAGTTTTGGTTTACGATGCAAAAATGATTCAAATCTGTCAGAAGAACATTTTAAATAAAATTTGAGCCAAAAATTGACATTTTACGTATGGATTTTTGCAAATTGAATCTGTCAACAGCACTCTAACTTTGGAATGATTTTTTAAACAGCGCATGCTATCAGTGATTATAAGCAGTTGATTCCCAATTAGACAGAGGATGCAGCTAACGTATTGCACATTGTTTTTTGAATTGAACATTCCCCTAGTGGTTTACACAATATATTAATTTGAGTAATATTCACCTTTAGCGGGTCGATAAACGATTCGAGAACACTACATGTGGATCTCAGTGAGCGGGAGCTCAGACTGCAATAATTTTGGCTAAAATTTTGCACGGGTAGATTTTCTGACGAATTGAATCATTTCTGCTTTGTAAACCAAAAATCGGAAGAAAAGTTTCGAAAAAGAACGAACAATAAGGAAGAACGCTGCTCGAGAGGTGGTTCGCTTGCTGAAAACTTTTGCGACGAGTTTTTCTCCGGTGGACGAAATCATTTTTATTTGCTGCTTTAAAATACGGAAAAGTCGAGCAACAATGAGAAACGGTCAGTTTGTTGTTATTGTTTGAATATTCGAATACTTTGCGCCATCTACACCTTCAGTGTTCTGATTGAAATTTCGCTCGGAATAGTTTTTAAGCAACATGAAACACTATCGGCCGATATCCCAGAGATCGAAGGAAAGAAGTCGAATCACTCTCCTTCTTATATGAGATACTTTGTTACATCCATTAGTGCATATAAATTGTCGCTGTGATATAAAGTCCAAAAAGCGCCACTGGATAGAGAGTCTCAAAGGATGCGTTATATCCAGCAATGATTACCCCATTTGTAACTATAGATGATCCGTCTGTATGTTATCTTAAAGGCATGCCTACGTTTGCGTTCCTTACAATACGATTTATTTATTTCAGCTTTCCTTTGCATTATTCCATCGAACACTTCTTTCTGTCCGAATATCATTCAAAAAAACTTCTCGAATGATGGCGGCAAATTTTTATTCCGCAGTATTTTTGAGATTGTAAAGTTCAAATTGTTCTACATATCCAGAATAGTGATGATTCTGTTCCACATTTCTTTCGTCTTTTAAACGGTTCTATTTCGCCGTTTAGTTGTTCTGTTCTTTGCTTCCTTTTTCCTGGAACTGCTCTGTTCTACTCCTTGGAATAGAACAACAATAGAATAGTAATCATTATTGCAATAGAAGCATAATTATTCTAGATGATCACAGGTCATGCTCAGTTGACGTAGGACCTCAGTCTGTTTGACGGTGTGATTTTAAATTGGTGTCTGTCTGGAAGCCAAAACTTTTGAAACTTGATACATTATTGAAACCGGCATGATACATGATTTCTAGAAACGCCGAGTTTCTAAAAATGATGTATCTTACAGGTTTCAGGCTTACCAGCGTGTGTCAAGTAAAAATGGCACATTGCTCTAGATTCGTATGTTTCTGTTTCGCAGTTTTGGCAAATTATTCTGTTCTGTTGAATTCCGCCGTTCAGTTGTATTCAAGTATCGATGCTTGCATGAAGTGCGAAATGTAGTGGCAAAATTCTCAGAGGAATATGATGAAAATTTATTCCAAGACATAGTAATCTGAATCACAAATCAAAACGAGACAACGAAAGAAACTAAAGATGTCCTATTACTACCTGTTACATTTCTAATCTACGGTTAACATCGCATATGAATTCTGCGAAAAGGCGATCAAATTTTTCATTTGTTGGGGTCATTCTCTTCCGTCTCGTTCTCCTATCTGCATTCTTTTTTTCTGGAACTGTTCTGTTGCTCCTTCAAATTGTTCTGTTCCTTGAAATAGAACATCGTTAGTTTATTTCTTTCATTGCCTCGATTTACTATTAGTTTATTGTGTCGTGCAATGAATTTTCCTTATATTCCATTACATTTCGCATTTCTTCATGCATCAATACATATAATTGCACATATATAAATAATACTTACTGCATTATAAATCATTTACTGCACACGAACAACACAAAAGCATCAAGCCAGCCATTCAGACGCAAACACAAAGACCACAATTAAATTGTTGTCGTCCTCCTCATAATATTAATAACAATAATAAAGCTGATAGCAGCACAAATAAATAATAGTAACAATAATCACAATAACAATGCTAAACGGACCACCGCGCATTGTTGATTTTCAAAAAGGTATTATAATAGGCATCTTAAATTGCTTATCGTCAAACTGACTCAGCCAAATAATGTGTATTCACAATCACATTCACACATATATACCTCAACGGATAGAGGATGATTGAAACATTCGAATAATATTTAGACGTCGAATAATATTTCGTTAAGTGGCCACTTTGGAATTTTGATATGGTGTCCTCGATGATCAAATTGAATGCTTCATATTTTGACAGGAATCAAATTCGAAAGGTTAAACTCTCATAGCGATAATTGCAAGTATTCGAGCTTTTTTAGAATGAATAGCACAATAGTTCAACTGAATGAAAACATTCTATTGAACTGAACAATTATTTGCTCAGTTGGAGTTTCGAAAGTTAAAAGTGAAAGAAAACAATGCTACATCATGCTGCAAATTGATCAGTTTGTGTTTGCGCATTTCGCATGGTTCGTTAACCGATCATTTTTTAATGTTTCTGATTCTGGTCTTCATCTCTCGCTCCAATTTCAGTCACAGTTCGTGTCATCCAGTACGTATTTATTGATTTGTGGATTATCAGAGTGGATTTCGTCTCGCCTATTGTCCTCATCATAACGATGATGACGACGCTGCGCTAGACGAAATCCAATAATCCAACAGGCTAGATGTGTGGCAAAATTTCAGATATACAAGCTGAAATCCAATAGACTACATATTAAGGTGACTAGAAACGGTAAATGCATTTTTCTAGCTAGCGAATATATCTGAATATCGAAATTTTTAAGTTTCCAGTGTAGAAGAATATATCATCTGATCTAGAAGCGGTGCACGCGAAATTTTGATTCGAAAGAATTGGTTTCAAAGGTAACTGAGTCGACGCGTTTTTGGCCTGAGGCCGTATTTTGCACGATCATTCGAGCATTTCTAACGTCTCACCTCTCCAGAAAGCACAGTTTGTTGTACGAACAGTCTGTATGAAATTTCGCTTCAAAAACTGGTCTGCAGGGTCGCTCGATCGACTTCTTTTTTTTGCGATTTTTGGATTTCGAAATTTCCACGATCTCACTCTTCAAAAAGATGCCCTCCAATTTGAAAGCAATCCTTCTGAAACCTTGCTTGTAAAAACTTAGTTCGGAAGATCGCTACTGAGATTAATCTTGTTTGAAACTGATGAACAAGGAGAATGTAAGCAAAGGCACTGATGATTTGAATGTGATGCTAAAAGCTCGGTTTTGAGAACATTTTGACGCGAATTTTTTTTTAATTGAGTTATGCGCCAACTACGGTCGATGTTTGCATAAACATCATGTGCCGTTCATTCCATACGATAGTGACTGCGAATGATCATTGGTAAGTCATTGAGAATGATCAGTAGGTACCATGTGCAGATATATTCGGAAACAAAATCTCTGCTTATTATCAATACCGTTCTCTTTGAAGAGTTTACTCGCTGTGACGGTTAAATTGATGAATTGCAACACCTTAATAGTTGAATAGGTCTTTTGAGAAACTGTTGAAGGGTGAGCTGTTTTCCAGAGAANGCTTATTATGAATACCGTTCTCTTTGAAGAGTTTACTCGCTGTGACGGTTTAAGAATTCATGTGATGTCTGGTGTGAATTAAATTGATGAATTGCAACACCTTAATAGTTGAATAGGTCTTTTGAGAAACTGTTGAAGGGTGAGCTGTTTTCCAGAGAATTGTTCGTTAAAAAATTATCCGCCATCGTAATATTTTTCACCAATGCGAATAGGCGAGAAACTTCTCCATTTTCTTCTAGTAATAAAGAAGAAAATGGAGAAAAAATAACATTCATCAATTGTTTCATTCCATAAGAATTTGAACATCTTTCTCAGTTTTATTTAATGAAGAGTGATGAAGATTTTCCATACTTCGCTGGGTTCAACCAAATGAAATCTGTGAACGTTTGCGCTATAACATGTCTTTTGAAACACCTCAATCTCCTCGCTCCGTTGAAGTATTGTCACTGCGATATCGTTCAAAAATGTATGTGATGGAATGCAGTTCTGTGCTAGACCACCTTATATCATTGCATTTCCTCCTCAGCAATATTCCCATTCTAAATACAACTACCATTGATTCCACCCAATGGCGTATGCAAGGAGAATACGAGATGGAGGGATGACTTCCCTCTGAATTTCCAAGAACAATTGCTGATCAATGTTATCGTCAACGCTATCATGTTTCCTTTGATGCTGTTTCGGTTATTCTTTCGCAAGTGTTATCTGAGCATGCCGTTGCTACAGTTTATTAGCGATTCTTTTGTTTGCATTTGATTTGAATCGTTCGAATTTCGATTACTCTATTCTAGGAAGGGGTTTGCTCAAAGCTGATTCTGACTGAGTTATTCAGTCATTTGCCATTCATAACGTTTGATCGAAAATATATCGAAAAATCCGTACATCTTCCCATTCTTTTACGAGATTTCATTTTAGCAAATGATGAACGTTTATCTCTTTTTTGAGAGAGGGAGAGAGTTATGCAAGTAATCGAAACCGTTATTGAACATTCATTAAAAGAACAGAAAAAGATCAGCTGCTTTATGAATGACTCGTTGAAAATGTTTTCACTTTAGAGACATTCTTTATCGGCATTGCAATTCTCGAAGGATTTTTGCACAATAAATGCTTATTAATAAGGGAATAGCATTCCGTTAGCCTTATTGTAAGCTTTTTCGGACGCTAAAGGTTCCAGCCATGATGTGTATTGACCGTCCATCAGTTCCTTGTAGTATCGTACACTATAATTACCGTTGCACATGTCCGTTGTGCAGCAGTCATCACACCTGACCATATCAGTACCATACCCATCCGATTCACATATTTCATTGCACACCTCTGCGCATGCCCGCACAATTGCGCTGAATGCCTTCAACGATGTCTCCACTGTAGTCTACAAATGCATTCAAAAATGAGCATTATTTGCCAAAGCCTTGAGGTGTTTATGGAGGTGAGTTTCAATGTTCATATAAGAGTAGGCTGAAGTTAGTTCTGCACAACATTAATTTGACTATTGTATCCATTCATTTTCAAATTTTGACTGATTCATGGACAATCCTGGCGTATCCTGATCGGAATCAAAACATCTAATATAATAAACAATATCGCAACAATCAAAAAATATTCTAAAATCGCCTTAATCTCATTCTACATTAAATAGATATCAATAAATTCTTGTGGAGGCATGATGGAGAGCGTTTAAGGAATGAAACCAAGGAACATACAATGCAAAACTTTTCCCAAGATGCGCACGGCTTTACAGTCAAATCCTTCTCGAGTAGAACCAACGAAGCGTTAGCACAGAAGAAATCATCATTCTCTCGTGTTGGTTCTAGCATTGAATAAGAGCACGAGTAACAGTTGAGTGTCCGCGAATGGAAAACGTTGAATATCAAGATGAATAGAACGTTCTTCAAGAAATTGCGTAAAATATTGTTATACAAGCAAGCTGATCTCCACATATTATTCAGTTGTTTATTCGGTTGAACATAAATTCCCAGTTTAATGCTGTTCAGTAGCAGTCGACAATTATATGGGAGTGAATTGCAGCACACAATGATGAAAATTGCCTTATATATTTCATATATTAATTCGATATTCATACTGGTATGATTGCGCACTCAAAACTTACGGAAGTATTGATAGACTAAATAAACAATTCGAAAAAAGTGAGCGGAATGATTGACATATTCAGGAATCAATTCATGTATATACGATCATACTGCATAACCACTATTCAATTATTTGTCCCGAATGTGCTGTTCTAGATCCAGCTTCGGTATCGTGACATTTGATAATTACTTTTCCATTTTCAGCATTCCACCAATATCATTACCAACAATATTTTTTTAATCACTGTTCAATTCTATCCAATTATTTGATTTATTGTTCGCTTGAAGTAACAATATTTTTGAGGCGATAATTGTGATTCATAGATTATCTTTCTGTGTAATATTAATTTAGTGCATTCAAGGTATCAATTCAGTACTGAACAGTAAACTCTGCAAGCATCAATCGTCAAAGAAAAAGAAAGTTTCCCAAGTGAAACGCGAAATTTGACTGATCTCTTTCGAAAATTATTCAGAAAGCAGAATCGTCACACAAAGCGTCTACTATATTCTCAGCACATTGCCCCTACTCTGTGATCATCATCACAGCTCGAACGCAATTGAATGAAATGACCGAACCAAAAGTGATAGCACGTGACGCAAGTGTCATATCACAAATACGACCGTATCTTCATTTAAGTGGAATTGCACCATTAACGCCAACCAATTTGAGAACGTTAGTTAGTTCACTTCATTCCTCCGCTGATCAATGTATCTTCAGGGATATTCATCCGGAGGGCTTTATTGTTGCATTGTTGCTTAAAATCATCCCGTGAAAGAAACCGCATGATGACTTTGTTACTGAACTCACAATAACTTGATTTTTCATTGCATGTCTTCATAAATTGTGCATCTTTGTATAACACGGCCTGTGAGTAATGGGACAGATCGAAGGTGTACGAAGGTAGAAGAGTGATTTTCTGTTAGGATGCCGTAGAAGGCCTAAGAAGCTGATTTTGCCACCACTACTTTTTGTAACGGAGTTGAACCTTTATCATTTCTGGTAGGTGATGCTTGTAAAAGACATGTGCAAAACATCCTTTTTGGGTCAATGCATTCATAATGACCTGAAAAATAATTTATTCAATAAATCATACGGGTGAGATCATTAAATCCAGAAACGGAGCTTCAGCGTTACTTAGTATTAATGAGCACGAATGAACTGATGTGCAGTTTATGACGAGCTTGCCATTAAAATTGTACTAAATGTAGTGTTTTACCAAATCCGAAATCCCGAGATTTCTTAGGACGTAACTCCCGAGATCGGGATTCAAAAGTCGGAATGTCCAAATCCATTACCAGTTCTAACCGTTCCCTCGAACCTCCTCTCCGCTATGATCAACTTTCATGCTATATATTTCCCTCCCCTCAATTCAGTCCCAACTCTCGAATTTCGTCTCCTCCCCGTCCCAAAAGTCCAAATGCTACATATCAGAAGTAAATATTTAGAATTATACAATACAGTCGTTNCCTTCCCCTATGATCGACTTTCATGCTGTATATTTCCCTCCCCTCAGTTCAGTCCCTACTCTCGAATTTCGTCCCCTCCCCGTCCCAAAAGTCCAAATGCTACATATCAGAAGTAAATATTTAGAATTATACAATACAGTCGTTTTGCAGTTTCACGTGCATAATAAACTGTGTAGCTGGATTGCGTCATATAGCACCACCACATCTGACTGTTTTGCATATTCCCATTGAAGACGATGAACAAACTGATTTGAGTCCTTATTGGCAGTTAGTCTTTCAAACGATCGAGGAGCACAAACGAATCGGTGGCAAAGTATTGATATTTTGTGGGATGGGAATATCAAGGTTAATTGAATTAATTATATGTCTAAATTATTTCATCTATTTCAAATTACTTCATCCATTCATTCATTATCAACGGATTTCATACATATTCAGTTATCATTTGAGTACCATTTCAACACGATTATTTATCTCGCTAACGCGCAGATGCTCGACTCAGTTCGCTTTCAGCGTACAGAAAAATTCTGAACCAAACAGTGAGCACTGATTCGAATTTTTGTCTGAAAGCTTTATTCGTGAAAACCAAACCCGTTATTTCAACAGTCATTACAAAAATTGACCGTCGTACAAGAAAAACTGCCATATTTAATAAATTTGCTACTCTTTGGATGTTTATTCAATTCTACTTACGTGATAATATCATTTTCAATACTAACGGTTCATACAAATAAATTCTGATTGAGATCGGCATCATTCGTTGTTGCATATTTGATGTGTATNATTCAATCCTACTTACGTGATAATATTGAGAAGATCATTTTCAATACTAACGGTTCATACAAATAAATTCTGATTGAGATCGGCATCATTCGTTGTTGCATATTTGATGTGTATTGAAAAAATGTCACTGCATGATGCTTATAAACATGTGCAACAAGTTCGTAACATTATTTGTCCTAATGTTGGTTTTTTCAAACAGATGATTGAATTAGAAGAAAAGGTTCGTCTTTAAATTTATTTGCCCTATTGGAAATTTCATTATTTGATGCTTTGCTTGGGTACACTATCACTGATTTCGATACACAAATTCATTCGAAGTTGATACATTTATTTCGATGACATCATTTCACTCAACGCTCACTTATTCCGTTGAATTCATTGATGTTAATTCTTAGAGTGATTTCCAACAAAATTATCATACCATTATTATACCTTCATTTATGCTATATATTTTTTGTCATTGAATTGAATTTTTTCTATTTTTCAGCTGTACAATAAAGCAACAGTGAAGATAATAAAACCTATACGTGGCATTGAAGTTGCTGACGTAGTGTGGAATGAATTATATGAGGAACTGATCGGTGAAAACCATGAGAATGTGAAGACGAAATGAATTCTTTTATTGCTTAACAAACATTCACTTGTCTTCAATTTTCATTGAGACTCGTAACCAATTGCTGGACTTGTGATAATTGTTTTTCTCGGTTTCGCGTTTAGATTATTGAACGATATATTGAGTAAAGTTGAATGCTTGAACAAGATTCATATAATACAACAGCAAAATTCCTCGATTGAGGAGATAATCACAACGGTCGATAATTTATCGAACTGGTTTATTTCGTCGAATAACACATCGTCTATTCTTGGTTTCGTTGTGATTTTTCAATTTCCTATTTAAGTGCAAAAAATGTCTCATGAAAGCGAAGTGCTTAGCTTGATGAACAACGGATAAACTGAATCAGTCCAGATGCAGCTAATATCAACTAAGAAAATGAAGCTGTTGAATGCAACTTCCAATCCGACACAAGGAAGTCGAAGATTTTACTCATAAAAGGCTTATGTTGAGAAGGGGAGAGTTAAGTGACATTTTTCAAAAGAAACAATTCAGGGATGTGACAGCATTCCAACAACTTGGGGAATCTGTTCATTGATAATTGTATACGATTTGAACTAACGACGATTCCGACGTTGGTATCTCAGTGAATATTACATCGCTTCTAAGAATATGAATCCTAGAAACGAAAAGTGATCTCGGGATTTCCGAATTTCCGAATTTTCGGCAATTCACAACTTATCTCCGCTACCTTCTACTCTCTCTGTGAGCACAGTCTCGATCAATTTCAATGGTCGAAAACCATCCAACCGCGTTATTTCGCTCATTTTCGTTGACAATAATACATTCATAGTAATCAATAACATCAGGTAGCATCCATCAACGTTGCATGGAATGCTCAATGATTTCACGGTAGAAAATGTGGTTATATTCCACAGACGTTGCACGGAAAAGCATCACTCTATTTCACAAAACATGAGCACAGGTGAACGCGTCAAAAATAATAGCATATTTATTCGAACATTTGATTTAAATTAACAAAATCTCAGTCACATTTATAAACCGGTGTTTACTATATCCAGTTCAGCTGCACAGAAAGAAAAACGAGAGAAAAACTAAATGTTTACAATGAGTTGACGACGTAAACAATGCATAACTGCACAAAAAAATTATGATAAGAAGCAAGGTATTCGTACGATTGTGAGAATAATTCCTTTTCACACTCACCTTTCAAGATTGTTTATTAACGAACCTCGCTTGAAAGCAAATCAGTGAAAATTGTTGAACTTAGCAAAAAAGAGTAATAAATCGGAAGAGGACTTCGCATGGTACTATTGCAATGCGACGTTTGGGTGCCTTGCAGGTAATGCTCACAAATGATCACAGTTTTGAACAATAGGAGAAGTAGGATTAGACTAGAAATTAAAAGGTCTTTAATCAGTTAAAAATGAAGGAATCAAAAGTCATATCTGAAAAAAATAAATGGTCCTTAATCAATTAATAAATGGAAATCGGAATTGAATGCATCAAAAATCATACCAGAAACGTATTAACTACTGTATCATACAATTAGTTAAACAGTACGTTCTAAAGCAAAATCTTAACAGCTGGAACTATTTTAGTGGCCCTATCGCATTCGGTTGTTTAAACAATGGTGCACAAACTACAGATCCACTATGGTTAATGAGAAAAGTTTTTAGGTAGTGATAATAATGACTGTCATCGCTATTGTTAATTATAGTGACTTTCATGGTTTTGCTGATCAAATGTTGCTGTGAAAACATTTTTCATTCAGCTAATCAAAATGAATGTCTATGTGCATGAAAAAAGCAGCTGAATAAGGTCAGCCACTAAATGAAGACGACTATTTAAACCTGTCAGCTGTAAGGTGGCATGCACTCGCTTGATGACTACAATCAACAATGATTCATGCCATTACTTGCCTACTGCCTCTTCTTGTGATACCTGCTGGTGAGTATTTACTGTTCTACCTTCAAAGTTGTCCATCTCACAACCAACAATATATGCTTCACAAGTAAAATTCCCCAGTCTACATGCAGAGGAAAGTTCATAATTTGTAGAGAACTAAGGTGATCGTCCATTTCAAGTCACTCTATCTAGAAGGCGTGAAACCAGGACTAGTCCACCGATTGAGATCAGCGCACGATAAATTGAACTTGTCACTGCTGTACGAAGCGGGATATGTATGAAAGGCGCGCTCACAAAATTTTGCCTTTTGAACATTCGTTCACACATTTCGTTTTCATAGGTATTTCGCCATTAAAAAAAAGATATTTCGCACTCACCACTCCTCACCTTATGAAACAAATTATAACAGATATCATGAGCACTTGAATTTTGTATATCGTCATGCTTCGCTGAGGAATTTTCAGTCGCAAACAGTCATCAAATATTTTTGGAGACATTCATAAATATGAGTCATCAGTAAACGACTTTTTCATTGATAGATATTTAGATGAAATCTATTCAGCATATGGTGTCTAGCTATTTTCTTCTTAGTCGTCAAATTAGGAACAGAAAATATCACTTCGAATGAGTTGATGACTGCAGACGTCATGATTTAGAGCGGTTTAATCAGCGTTAGAAGAATTGTGCAGAATGCGCAAAGCTGACATCTAACATCAACAGAATTTCTATCCCATCGCGAACCAGACAAAACCATAAGGTTTCAGTTTCTGCTGGAACTCGATGCAGTGGCTCAGGCAGACTTAGTGAAGAGGAACGTCAGCTCATTTTGGATGAACATAACAAGTATCGATCGCTACTAGCGAAAGGGCAAGTTGTGGCTGCTGGCAATCAACTCCTGAGAGGAGCAAGGAACATGATTAAGCTGGTTCATTACTTTTGGCTGACTTCATCATTTTAATTTTTGGCGGGGAAATTTCTGAATACGCGGTGAACTTAAGTTGCGAGTGGAATTTCTTCGCCCTCTCATGCTAAAGCTAACTGGGACTTGCTTAGGTTTCACTCGTGCTTGTTTGAGTAGTGGCGTGCATTATGAAATTTGACGATCGTTTGTGCTGGGGTGTGCCCTTGTCATGCACCTGCTCTGTACAATTTGACCACATTTCACATTCTATGAAAGCATTCCATGGCACGGAAAAGGAAACTGAGTTGTTGCTGTTCACGATGATTCGACACCGTTAATTAATGATTCACATTTGTCGATAAGCAACGCAACATTTTCAGACATACGATTGCAACTTGGAGACGATCGCACAAAACTGGATCAACTATTGCCAGTTTGAGCACTCAGACAGAGAGTTCCGCAAGGGTGCTGGTGAAAATTTATATTATGCTGGAACTACTGGTGAATTAAATAATCGAAGTAGGTTCTTTTCCGTTTTGCATGAGCATTAGAATTTGACATAGCAGGAAACATAATACACAGTATGGCAGTGCCTTTAGATTCAGTTCTAGTGAGAGGAGCAGTGAGAATGAAAATCGTGTAAATGAGGTAAACATTTCAATGATGTAATTTAATCGAAATATCATGTCTCTAATTTTGCTTATATCCATTGTCTGTCAGAACAACAGCAATGAATTTCGCAATGGTCATATGAAAATAGTAAAATTTACATTCCGGTTTAAGCACAATACCTGAAAGATGCAGCGAAAGCTTGGTGGGATGAAGTGAAGGATATTTATGAAAGTAGCTTGGAAGAAGAGAAAGGTGGACTCAAAATGACTAACGCAATCAGCTATGCTGGTGCCCTCCACTGGAGTCAGGTTGTGTAAAGGAATTTAATTATTAGTTCTGTAATGACACGGAACGATTCCCTTTGATTATGCAGAATAACAACAAATGGCACTGTTGTCTATATGCTCCCAAAACTCTCAAAAATGAGACATTGATCATTGGAGCAACACCGCATTTAAAATCGCTAAAAATTTGCGACCAACATATTCATCAGATTTCAGTGAAAGCACGACATCGCTTGGTAGGTGTGTGCTGTCGCGTTTTCAACAGTGATAGCTCGCAGTATCCACCTGGATGACAATGAATTCTTTAGTAATGTTCATTTGAGAGGCTTCAGAGAACGAAAATCTTGAAGACGTGCTAACAGACAAGTGCAATCGAGACTAGAGTTCGTCGTGGTAGCATCCCTCATAGAGATCCCTGATGGGGAGCGATTCTCCGACAGTTTTGCTCTGCAACATTTTTGTGCCCTTTCCTCGGATGAATTCCTTCCCTTGGGAATGCACCCACAACTGCGAACCCTTACATAAAATGTTCTTGTGTGGTGGGTATTTTGCTCCTGAAGCAAAAATGGCATTTTGTTCGGTGTTCTCCAACGCCTAATATACGGGTGCAGCAGTATACACTAGTGTATTTTGGCTTGATCAGCTTGCATTAGTGATGGGATCCGACCGACAGTCGGTCGGAAAAATCCGACAATCTCGGTCGGAATTTGGAATTCCGATTGTCGGAACGGCGAAATGCCAGTTCGATCGAAATTCCGACTGTCGGAACGGCGAAAGGCCAATTCGGTCGGAAGCCGACCGAACGAAATTTCGCTCGGACTTATCACTAGCTCGCATCACTACAATTCATACTTAAGCTCAGAATTGTGATTAGACTTAGACGCACCGTTAGGCGTGCGAGGGGTGAAACAACATATGCGTATTATTGTTGGCAGTTATGCACACCGCTGCTCATATCGGCGAGAGTAAGTGCGAAACAGCAAACAGCAAATTCATACGTAAAACACGAAAGAAGCACTCATATTCATTGCAAAGGTTTGAGCATGAACGAGATGTCGGTTTCATCATCGAGGATCATTCTTTCAACGCATTTCCCTATTTTAACATACTCATTGGAATGGGGACAAAATGCAAAATAAAGTCAGACCGAAATTTTATGAAAGTTAGATAATGTTCCATGACGGTTCTAAAGGATGCGATAGTAGCTAGCGAATAAGTGAATTGCTTGGCAGTGAATTGATATAGACGAATTTTTTTTAAGTGATCATAACTGTTTCAATTTATGTGTTAAAAAAGAACGAATGCAAAATCATGAACAGTTTCATGTGATACGAATGTTCTCTGGAAAGTGAATTTCTGAAGTGAAAGTGCGATGTACCCTTGAATAATCGGTAGAGGACTTCAGATGGCTTGGGCCAAAACAATGAAGGTTGGTTGTGGTATGCAGAAATGCTATGATGGCAACATGAAGAAATACATGGTTTCATGCAATTACCAAAAAGCGTAAGTGGCTGATCTGATTCAGCTTTCCTGTGAAGCGCCATTTGAACGTTGCAATTCAATCAAAATCGTTCCCAGTGAAAGGAGCGCTTAGAGTGAGAAAAATAAAAATAAAGAAAGCATTTCAATAATGTAATCACTTTGGAATATTTTCATTTCTAGTTTTAATAATGTCTATTATTGCATGAGTCCTCGAATGGTGTGAGTAATTAAAGTACTTTCTTGCTAATTTTCTTAGCATTGACGTTCCTATCGAAAATTTGAACGAGAGGCTGGGCAAAAAAAACTGCTCATTCCTGTGTTTAATAAGCCAATTTCAACGGTGAACCGTAATACACAGAGGCAACATGATGGGCGATATTGTCTTCTTATATGGTAATGGATGCTCAAAAGACTCAGATTGCAAACTGAAGAAAAATAATAAATGCGATGTGGAAACAAAGCTTTGTTACAAACCGTGAGCAACTGGAAATCAAGTTGAGGTAACTGACTTCCAAACTTGTTACATTTTATCTAGCAAGCATTTTGAGTCATCTGATCAATATCATGATTGATTCACATTTAAATCAACGCATTTCAAAAAGTAATATTAGTTTGATGTATCCGTTCCATGTTTTGGTGAAACAAACGCAGAGATATTGTTCAATCGAAATCGATGCTTTTCAGTATAGAATAAATCACTTAACATTGCTCTCTCAACTGAACAAACAACAACTCGCATCAACGATCAATCATTTCATTTCCTTTTTCATTCACCTAACATCAGGATGCAATACAGCTGGAAACATAAAAATAAAAATCATGAGAAGCATTAATTTGTTTTCGATTCCAGTGATTTTTGATGAAGTGAACAATTCATTCGGCACAGTGTTTTGTTTTAATTGTTCTTCAGTTTTATTCGTCCATCTATTCTTTGGGAAATAAAATATTGCTTTGGCAGATTCAGTGTTCATTGTTGATGTGCTAGTTATAATGTAGTATAAGCGAAACAACAACGAAGCAACAGAACCTCATAAGCGAAACAACAAACAAATTATTTAAACTTTATCACTTTCCCATGTTTCCCACTTATACTCCTCATGCCTCAAAATCTCCCCTCTTATGAGAACAGCCATTTGTCATATGAGTTTACAAGTAAAACATGACGCTGTTAATGAGCACCCAATGCATTCAATTAATAGAAACTGCACAGAAACTGCACCTTCACCTGAATCTGTGCTCAAAAAACCGATCTGTTTTCGTTTGTAAACGAATTACCGAAAACCGTTGCTACCGCTCCTAATCGATGTCTGTTTCGCAATCGATTATAGCAAACGTCTTGGAGATTGTTGTATCGATATTGCTGAAGTTAAACTTTCAATGAAACTTTATCATGGAAAGCTGAATTGTTCGTTACCTGTTATCAGCACTGCATGCGCACAAAGACTGTATATATTAGAGTTAGTTATGAAGATATTATGATTAAAGAGCAGCGTAGTGGAACAATGAAAGATAGAACACAATTACCAACAATTGCTATGAAGTAGAAGACTGAACTGTGAGTTATTTTCAATATAAATAATTCTTAGAGCACTGCTCTGGGAATTATTCATACTAAAAATAATTCGCACTGAAAACAGTGCATTTATTTGTCATCATTTATTTGATGTTATTTTCAGAGTATCGTCAAAATATTTCGAGTCGCATACATTTCATCAAAGATCAGTGTTCACAGGCATGGCATTTTGCATGTGTACCTTATCAAAACGAATTTATATTTACTACATAATATTTTTCGTTTTCACGTCAGTACTGTTAATAATTATGAACAGTACTGATTGGAAGGCATCGCTAGCTTCTTAATGCTCCCAATTCTGTTCAAATTTCTATGAGCAGCACACTCCGATTAAATTCAGACAATTTGGGAAGTGAGAGGAATTTTGGCATACGAAACTACTCGTATGTAATTTTTGCAAGAATCAGACGAGATGCATGTTAAGGAGGGAACAAAATTGATGTGGCAACCGACAAAATTTTCTTTCGCAGCCCTGAAAGTGAGCAGCCTACCGATGAACAACGACAATTCAGCTTTCATGCGTTGTTCGGTTGGACCGAAGCTGTAATGTGTTTTTAAAATTCATGTTCCAATATTTCGCACAACGGCAGAACTGTAATATTTCCAACTCACATACCTAGGTAACACCTAGGATATTGAAACCTACTGAGGTTAATTTTGTGGTGCAGCATGAGTTAGATGGAGTGAAAATCACGAAAATGATAAAACTGACTAAATTCTCTTTCATCGCCTCAAGAACACTCAGCTGCTGATAGTTTCCAAGGAATTTCAATTGTTTACTGAACGTGTGCTATTTGTTTTTTGTGTTTTAAATGCAGTTCAGTAAACAAAAGTTCCGATGATGATTGAAGTTGGGTATTTGCGACCATCGTCATAAAAACTTTCATTATGGTTACTTTCTCGCGTTTTCTTTCTCTACTTGCTTCCCTGCTGAGATTTTTCAATTTTCATTTCGGTGTGATCTTGCCAAGAGAATGAAAAATTATCTTTGTTTATCAATAAATGAAATGGAACTGCTCAATACACGTAAAGCTTCAATATAAAAACTAAAGTCTTACCTCTACGATACGATTGTGATAACATTGATAAATGCCTGAAAATAGATTTTAAACGGCTAGTGACATTACGGTAGTACTGTAACGATTGAATGCAAATATACACTTTCCTGTTTGTTATTAGGAGATCGGAGTGGTAATTTATGTGAAACGATTGTGAATCAATGTTCAGTGTTCATCTCGCCGAGACCATATATACACAGAGCTGGTTAGATTCCTAATAGTGAAAGGATCTGAAGGTAGATATGCAAACAAATTTGGCAAAGCAAACTCAAAACAATCTACTGACGTACCGAATGAATACATGGCAGAGTCTCTTTCGAGTGATAATGTGAAGTTGAGTTATGTGGTGAAAAGCGCAAAACCCTTCCACTCATACAAGTCTCAGATACAAGAGAATCACTCCTAACATATTCTAGTAATAAGACCGTAGCATTGATCATTTATGTGCGAGTAAAATTCGCTGTGAACGGAATGAATGACTTGCAATTTGTCATTGTTAAAATTATCACGTTCGTTCCAAATAAAGCTTTCTTAATAAATAAAATACCAGAATTGAAAAATGAACATCGACGTTCTTGAAACGCCTGGAATCGGCAATTGATTTTGTGAAAACTTGTTTATACTGCTAATAGAGTGATAATCATAGAACTTCAATTTGCATTCAGTCGATTCTTAGCCATTTCACGGCCTCTATGATGATTATTTTTAACTCATCACTAGCGGCGTCCATCTGTGCTATCAGCGTCGAATAGCCACAAAATAAAACTGAAAAGTAAACAGTTAATATATTCATGGTAAATATTATTCATGATTCTTTTGATTTCAGATTATCAAACAATCGCAATGGAAGCACACGAACTACTGTATCTTTGTAAACACCATTCGTCAAATGAAATACAAACAAATGAATGAGTTTTGGTGAAGCTGCGAAAACAGCAACGGACAATAAATATGAATATCACAGAGCAGTTGAATAGTGCCTTCAAGATTATCGTCATTTCATGATTATGGTGGCGAAATATTCGAGAGAAAATAGATCGGCACATTTGAATAAACTAATGAATGAAGTAGAGTCAGAGTGCTAACCATTCCCTTCAGGTGTTGACTGGAAGAACAGCTGAATAAGCTGCATTGATGAGTATTTAAAGGTACTAGCATTAAGATAACATACATTCGCTTGGATAAAATCATCAGAAATGGTCCACTTTGCTACCTGCTTACTTCCTCTCCTGTTCGCAGCTGTTGGTGAGTGTTTGTTGTCATATCTTCAGTCTTGTCCATGACATAGCCATTAAAATTTAGTTACCGCATTTGCTTAATGAATCCAAGAATGAGCATTTTTTGTATTCTTGAGGAGAGGTTCATTCACGTGGAGGATGTAAATCGCGGAAACGACGTTGTTCACATCCTTTACCTCAGTCATAAGCAAGGAAATAATCTTTCTTTCGAACAGTACAATTTCGTTACTGCTGAATCGTGCAGCAGTATCGGTGATCTTATATTAAGAAGGCCAAGTTTTATCTGAAATCAAGGCGACGGAGTCTCGAAAGCTTAAGATTATCATCCTCAAGGAAAAGAGACCCAAAATCCGTGAAGAAATTGAAAAACTACTGGCGCTGTTGATTAAAAGATATAATCATAGGCATGCTCCAGTGGCTGATTGTGAATAAGCAGCTCATGAGAGGGTGTCATCGTTATTTGAAGACTGATATAAAATTACGTAGGTGTGAAAGATGCAAAATGCAAAGGGAATCATGACTGATTAATACGGCTTGGAAACCATAGAAATAATCATTCTTAGAAGAGATAAAATGAAAGTACATCAACCGATGAAGTTACCGCAGGCACATCTTGTGCCATTATTTAGTAAATGATTTTTTTGCTGTTTAAAACGCATGCATTCAGCGTCACTGAATATCGGATAACTGTTCGCATCGAAGAGTGAAAGTGAAATAGACCAAGCTATCAGCATTTTAAAATCTTTTGATATTGTTGTTGGGAATAAATTGTGCGGTATATTTTGAGTGCAAATTGTTTTTCACATCATATTTGTTGAGCCACATATCATTCCTGAAGAACGTTCCCAACGCGATTCTTCATGTTATGCGAATTGGATCACAATTGTAATTTTCGAAAACTGGTTCTCCAGTCGCCTTATTAAAGACACAGCTTATGAAGGAAAATACATCCAGTTCAAGATTCCGTTTACCTCAGATATCTCGACCATTTGCAAAATATCCTGACCTGGCAATATTGTCTCAACAGTGCAAGTGAATTACAATAAAGTACTTGAAAATGTCAAAAAAAAANAAAAAAAAAGAACTCTGATGATTGATCACCGATTACTTTGTTGATATTTGCCACTGCTTTGTATCCTTCTTCCCACTTAACCAACAATAATAATCCAAGGGAACGCTCAATTTCCTCAATTAATACTTTATTCATCAATATTATTCGACAATTCCAAATGAAATAAGAATGACGCGTGCGCTCATTCAGTGACTGAGACTGAGGTTGGGGTTGAGGCTGACATCTTGTCCGGATCTTTTCTCGAAACATAGATTAAATGTTACTGTAAAAGGATTTCTCATGCTGTTGCAACGCTGCATTGCAGTTCTATCTAATAATGCTTGTGCTATATCCATGAGTAAGAAGCTACTTCTCTTTCCCCTTCCGAAATTGTAAGAAATATCAGTTGAACCCGATTGGTCAGGGAATTATTCAGTGATCGTTTGAATTAGTCGTTTAAAATATCAAGAACATGACTTTAGAATTTCTAAAGAAACGAAAATCCGCGTAGAAATGGAATCATCCCCATATTTGGAAGACTTTTTTGCAATAAGTCGAGAAAGTACCGAATTCAGGAGGTACGCCATCGACTAGACTAAAGCGGTCAGTACTGCGGAAAACTGCTCCCAGCACTCATATTATCCTTCTCTCTGAAAAGCACGGACATCAACCAAAGTAAATATTCTGAGCGCTGGAGCTAATCTGTTTTATTATAACGTGAACGTGCCTCGCTGCTCTTGCGTTCCCAGGCCATTCAAATTGATGAATATAGTTACAAAGATGCAAGGTAAATTGATCAGTAAGGAGAGAAACGTGAAAGTTGTAATGTAACTGTTTCTGATAACTCAATTTTCAGTTTCCGCTGAAGTCGCCTGTGGAGGGGATGGAGGGCTCAGTGTTGAAGAGCGCAAAGTAATTCGAAGGGCGCATAATGTCCGCCGTAAAAAATTAGCCGAAGGGAAGGAAACAGCTCATGATGGCCTGAAGATGAAGGCTGCGAGCAATATACTTCAGATGGTAATGATGCGGAATGGTTCAAGAGTTCTGATCGGATTCGTTATTTTGATGTTTTTTGACATGTCGATAACCACACTTCAATCATCATCAAACCCGAAGAATGTTGTTTTTGACATAACAGGAACCACTTCAGCTTTAGTACACCAAACTCCTGTTGTGATCACATCGTTTACATCATGTTCATAGAAAGTTATTTTCATTTCAAAATAATTGATTTTCGAGATACACTTTAGGACGATCCATCTTGATTTAGTTCCATACGTTTCCTGCCGAAAACGAAAAACGTTTTTCAGAAATACGATTGCGAACTGGAGAACTACGCACAAAATTGGATTAACAAATGCAAGTTTGATCACTCACCCCAAGCGGAACGCGAAGGTAAGGGCGAAAATATATACTACTATGGCACAACTGGCGACTTAAAAGATCGATGTGAGTTCTTTTTCATATTTGATGAGCATCAAAGCAGAGAAAAGGAAACCAAATAGTTCGAAGAAAAGAATGAGGTTGAACATCAAATTGTTCAAGTTATGTATGGCGAGAAAGTCATCGTATGATTCAGATTATTTCATCTATCTTTGACTGCATTCCGGTTTAAGCGCATTATCTGAGAGATGCAGCGAAATCTTGGTGGAATGAAGTGAAGAATATTACCAATGTGACGGTGGGCGACAAAGGGCTTGAATTGACTCAAGCAATGGCTATGGATGGTGCCCTCCACTGGAGTCAGGTTGATTGAACGAAACTAACTATCATTATTTTTACAACGTTGAACATGATTTTTGATTGTATAAAAAAGGACTGGATGGAATGATCAAGAGCAATTCTGATAAGCAGAAACAGAAAAGTGTTGAGATGTTGATCACTGAGAGCAGTGTTGCGCTTGAAAAGGCTTCAAAAAATAACGGGAATTTACAATCGCGATGAATGAAAATTGATTGAAACGCGTTATGCCCACCCTGATGCGCATTAAAATATATAGATGGGATGTTGTCACAATTAAGAGCTCGTTTGAAATGACTGGATCCTGAAGAGTTCATCTGACAGAAAGCGAAAACTTAATGAACGAATATTTGCGAGGCAACAAACGCAAAGTATTTTCATCTGCAAGCGACACGGAATTACTATGTTCGTGTGTGAGATCAAGTTTTTATTGGCAAATGAAGCTCCATTTGCCATTCTATGAGACATTTGAATAAGCACTTCAGATGGCTTGGGCTGATACAGCAAGTCTGGGATGTGGAATGAAAAAATGTATTGAGGGCACAATGAAGAAGTATATGGTTTCATGCAATTACCGTAAACAGTAAGTGTTTATCGCTTTCATCAAGATTTAGCTTGGTTACGGAACTGCAGCTAGACGTTGTAATTTCTACAAAATTACTTTTATGAAAAGAGCACTGTGTGTAACAGAGAAAGTATCCTAACAGTGAAATCAAATCCACACATTCAGTTCTCTTACCATCTGTTGTTTAGCAATTTGTCAAATAAATGATTACTAAGTCCCACATCTCTTTCTCTTAATCTCTGCAACACCAGTATTTTTATCTGAGCATAAGCCATGATATACAATTCCTTTCTATACGTTTTGTATCCACCCAAAATTTCAACAACAAACTCTACCGTACAGAGGTAACATGATGGGCGATAATATTTATACGTATGGCATTCCATGCTCCACTGATGATGATTGCAAAAGTCCAGATTTCCCAAAATGCAACAAACATTTAAGTCTTTGTCGCTCACGTAAAGACTGAACATCAGATTAAGGTAACTGGTTTTAAAGTGTTCAAACTAGATAGTCAGTTATTGATATCTCTGTTCTAATGAACTGTTCTATTTCTGTTCTATTTTATGCTATACTTATAGCGCAACACAAAACAGTTTTGGAATTTAAGATGCAATTTAAACGGCAGTACAAAACAATTTCGAAATCTTGGTTGGGAGTATGGAAACAGAACGGAATAGAGCAATTTAGAAGCGAACGCATGAAAATAGCTCTGAATTTTGGGGCGCGGAAAAACCTGATAAAAACTGAGAATGTTAAACAGAGCATTTGAAAGAATGGAACAGAACGGTACAGTTCATTCAAGGTGTAGGACGCGATATCATATTGATTGCATAGTTAGCCTCTATTTGATTCAATTTATTATAGGCTCAGGCTGAGGCTCGTACCAAGATAAAAAGATGATTTCCCGTTATGAGCCTCAGCTTAAGCCTAAGCCCAACTGTAATCCATCGCCATATTTCACTCCAGTTATCGTCAGTATATTCGAATATACTAGTCTGTTCAAATAACAGTATTATCAATTCATCGTTGTTTGATGTCATATGCCTAATTTCAGGGTGTGATGCAGGTGATTCATCTTCGCTTCGAGTTTTCCATTGTTAAACGTTCAATTGATCAGATTTATTTAACATGCAATGGTCCATCTTTATCAATCAGCTGATTTTTTTACATTGGGATATGAAACAGTCTTGTACGTTATTCGATATCTGTTTTGGATGTTTTGATTTTGATTTTGGATGATTTAATGCTTAGTATCGATATGATACTTGAAATAATACCATTTGCTGCTGATAACATGAAACGATAAATTTTATTATTTTTCTTCACCTCGATATTGCACTCTCCATTAACTTAACTTGCTTTGACTCTATGAAGACACATACACTAATTTATGGTCTTAAGTAGTGCATTACGGTGAACGAGGAATATCGAGGGCCTCGTCCCCAACACTTCATGAAGCCACCGCATTTTCGGGGTCCCCGACTGCAAAGCTTGTCCTCGACTTTGCCTATTTGTCAGGGATGTGCATAGCTGATATCTATTGTGCCATTGATATCAGAGTTGGGTCGGTAGCCATAGACCGATTTTCGCAGACCATTAAATTTTGATGCCAATAACTGAAACTAAAGCCGACTGATCGGTCAATTAACACCAAACCGCTCACTAGAAACCATGCGTTTGGCTAAAATCTGAACTTCAGGAATGTATCTGATTCGAAATTTCATGTAACGTTGGTAGCTCCATCCGAGTAGGGAGATGTGTGAACTAAGACAATGATCGAACTGTTTATAAAGTTGTTCGTTATATTATCACGACTGCTCCAAATTTGTACCAAGAAACCATCAGAAAATATCGGTATAGGGACAGCTACGGAGGAGAAGTAATCAATCTGGCTGGATCGATCAACTGTTTGCAAAAGAGAGAATTTTATTTGTGAAGTATGAAAACACTCACCACAACGCATCCATTGTGACTCTTGGCTCCCTCAGAAATTTCTATCCCAATAAGTGCTGGTTCTTTCATGGTGAAAATGCTTAAGGTATTCCGAAAAAATTTGCGATCCTTAAAATGTCAAAATTTCACTTCGTGAAGAAGGCAGCGAAAACTTTCCGAAGATATATACATGCATTTACAAAAATATGTACATATGGGGTTTCATTGCTTCTCTTGCATACACTGGCACTGCAGCAGATCTAGCAAAAATATGTGTTGATGTACGTATGTATCCCTTAAAGAAATTTTGAACTAAGCTTCAGAAGTTTTGGAATCACTTTAAAACGAATCTGATGAAAGCATCAAAAAATCCAAATCAAATCAAAAAATTTTGGAAAAACATTCGAAATTTAAAAAAACAAGAAGATTCGATAAAAATATTGCAATAAAATCGAAATATTTATTTAATCGGCAGTTACAACTCATTACGAGCTTACACCTCTCTATTATCACCAATATCACATTATTCATTCCTAGGCATTCTTCTTTCCGCGCGAAATCATACTTAAAATTTCAAAAATAACTTGAAATAAGGTTGTGAAGGAATTTGAAAAAAAAGCTGCAAAAATTTTCGAGAAACTATTTTTCAAAAAATTTGAAAAAGATTTTAAAAAATGTTCGAAAGCTTCATGAAAATTGCGTGGTGACTTCACCGAACATGTTTTTGAAATAATGTTCGAGGAGTTCATGTTCCATTGAAAGTATCGTAACCCACCATAGTCCAAAAAATGCGACTCGGGGAAATAATATCGCTGCTATGAGAGTAAATTAATGCTAGTACCACTGAACGCTGAAAGTGTGTAATGATCATTCGCATTCGAATAAATGTGCAATTGACTGAAGATCTCAAGATAACAAGAAATAACGATCTAAACATTGAGTATTTTATCAGTTACAGCAAACGTGCATAAATGTTATTTAGAATGTTATCAGTTATTCACAATGCTCGCATAAGACAGTCGCATTCCACAGGAAGGAAATGTCACCCGATGAAACTGAAGTTTTTCTGTTATCATGACGATTCTCTGACAGTTCGGCTTAAACAATTTCAAGCATTCACAAATGCAATCAGCTAAGTAAAGAAAGAAAATTCATTCTGAGATTTAACATTAACAGTTCCATCGGAACAGCACTTAAGGACCCGTGAAAATTTCGTTGCAACTGCGAACGAAGTGTATTTTGAGGTAAATGCATTCAGAGAAATAGCTGGGAGAGGAAGCTTTTGTGATGTTGTGAAAGGCATCTGTGCGGTCAACATTTCGATGCTATCAACGGAATCATCATCGATTTTTTGCTTGTGGAACTATTTGAGTTACTTAATGGGCGTTCATAGCTGGCAATAACCGTGCTCTAAAGGTTCACTATTGCTGATTTTTATCGCACTTTCGTCGATTTGATCAGGCGATTCGACTGGAGGAAATTAATGCCATTAAGATCACGTGATTGGTTTATCAATAGTAAACTGATTTGTTCCCAGACAGCGTCATCTTGCTAACATATAGCCATTTGCCATCAATCATTATGAAAGTATTATTTGCTTTCAATAGGCGCAACAGAGCACTGATAAAAGTTTTTCGAGGTGTTTAGGGCATACGTTTTGCATGAAATCAAGTGTACATTGACAGCTTAGCAATCATTTGATAATCCAACGCAATATAGAAAAAGTTCGTCATAATTCATCATATGATGCAAATGAAGATACAATCTTCATTTCTATGCTACATGAAATGAAAAAGGCAACATTGAAATCAGCTTCTTTTTCAATTGGCGTCAGTATAAATAGATCAGATGTGGAAAGAATTACAGATATGCAGATTCTAATTACGACCTGTCTATCAGAATAACGCTTGTAAATATTTCAATGTTCTTATTTGTTACCAACCATTCCGAGGAAGCACGGATTAAACCAGTATTATCCCATTTCAGTTTCGATGCTTAATTGGTAGTAACGAGTTTGAAGAATCATTTAACCCGATATTTTAATTGAACAACGAATCATAACTCGTTAATTTAGTCTTTTCAGCCGTGCGTGATGAAATTAACTGCAATAAACCATAGTGCTGCTGCCAACAATTTGATTCTGAGGTTTTGTCAGTTGCTAATCAGTTGCATTTACTCCTCTATCAGCATTTTGATCATTCCAAGCAATTCACTGATGATTTCATTATTCCAGTTAGTGCTTCATTAACCTGAGAAGTGTAACGCGTACGGAGTTATGCGGTTACAAGTGAATGCATATCATCTCCATTGCAAGAGCCCTGGAAAACATGAATTTGTTCAGCTGAGGCTTAATCACTACCATGTAATCAACCAGTATCTCAACTAATGCCACCAATCATGCCTGAAATCAAAAATGTCTGAATGAGAATTTTTTACGAGAACCTTATCAGCGCAATGAAAGGAAGTATTGGGCAGTGAATTCCGAGAAAAATAATGAAAAAANAAAAAATGGATGG